GCCTACTGGGTTATTTTTATGGTTAAAATAAAACTTATTTTAAAATGTACAATTATGGTTGGGTGCAGTGGCTCACGCCTGTAATCCCAGAACTTTTGGGAGGCCCAGGCGAATGAATCACCTCAGCTTAGGAGTTCGAGATGGCCAGGAACCTGGGAGGTGGAGGTTGCAGTGATCTGAGATCATGCCACTGCACTCCAGCCCTGGCAACGCTACAAGACTTCATTTCAAGAAAAAAAAAGAAAAAAAATGAACTGTTAAATTATAATTGACTGCCAGGTTATTTTTATGGTTATAATAGAAATCATATGCAAGTATAAATAAAATACATTTCTGAGTCCTGAGTAGATATCTTAAAATTTTATACATATATATATTTGAACATGTGTCCTGTCTGCCTGCAAACACACACAAACTTTAGTTTGGGTTAAATATACATTACTCTAAAAGATAAACTTTAGGTGTAAGGAAATTATAAAGTAAGTGAGTGTGTGTGAGTAGAAGTTTGTACTTATTTTCAGAAGAAGTATTGGGGAAAAAATTATTTTAACAAAGTGACTAGTATAAAACCAAAAGCCTCAAAAATGCAAGCAAATGTATTCTCTGCTTTGTATTGAATTTATTACTATAGTTATTGTGTATGACAGTGTTTCTTAATTTTCATTTTGAAATAGTTAATGCATAGAAATGCTACTGTCCTGTTGCTTTTGTATTTTGAAAGTTTAATAATTTTTTAAGTAAAATCTTAGGCTTTTCTTATTTATTTATTTATTTATTTATTTATTTATTTGAGATTGAGTCTCACTCTTGTCACTCAGGCTGGAGTGCAGTGGCATGATCTTGGCTCACTGCAACCTCTACTTCTCAGGTTCAAGCAATCTTCCTGCCTCAGCCTCACAACTAGCTGGGATTACAGGTATTGTGCCACCAGGCCTGGATAATATTTTACTTTTTTTTTTTTTTTTTTTGTATTTTTAGTTGAGACTGGGTTTCACCATGTTGGCCAGACTGGTCTCAATCTCCTGACCTCAGGTGATCCGCCTGCCTCAACCTCCCAAAGTAGTGAGATTATAGGCGTGAGCCACGGTGCCCAGTCCCAGTTAGTCTTACTTAGGTTCTTCTATACTTCAGATTATGTGTAGGGATAAAAGATAATTATACAGGAACAATTAACTTCCTTTTGTCCTATCTGAATGCTTTTAATTTTATTTCCTAATTCCTTTTTCTTGGATTTGTACTATGTTTAGCAAGACTGACTTTAGTAAGGATGAGTGGGCATCCTTGTCTTATACTAGCTTTTAGAGTAAAATCTTGCAACTTATCCCTGTTTAATATGTTGTTAGCTGTGTGTTTTTTGCTGATATGTGGCATTTATTGGCGGAGGTACCAATAATTTGATCTATAACTACTTTTTCAGAGATTATCAAAAGGGAATGTCAAATTTTGTCAAACTTCCATTGTGCATCAATTCTTTTGTACTCTGCATCTATTTTGATGTTAGAGATGTGAAATCACAACAATTTTACATATATACAAAAAATAATCAGAGACTACTATGAACATCTCTATGCATGCAAACTAGAAAATTTGGAGAAAATGAATAAACTCCTGAATACACAAAACTTTCCAAGATTTAACCAGGAAGAAACAGAAAACTTGAACAGGGCAAAAATGTATAAAACATATGATGAAATTAATTAGTAATAAAAAATCTACCAACTGTAAAAGCCCTGGATTATGTAAAATCACAGCCAAATTTTGCCACATATACAAAGATGAGCTTGTACTACTACTGAGTGTACTCCAAGAAATCAAGGTGGGATTCCATCCTAACTCATTTTATAACATCAATATTATCTTAATTCCAAAATATAGTGAAGGCACAACAGAAAAAGGAAACTACAGGCCAATATTTTTGGTAAACATTGAAACAAAAATCCTCCATGAAATATGAGCAATCTGAGTTCATAAGCAAATCACAACGTTGTTAGAATAAATTAAGACAAGAATATCCAGTCTAACACTCCTATTCAACATAATTCTAGAAGTCCTAGTCAGAGCTATCCAACAAAGTTAAGAAATTAAAAGCATCTAAATAGAAAAAAAGGAAGTTAAATTATCTTCACTGATAATAATTCTCTACCTCCCAGTTCTAAGTGTTGCAGGACGCAGAGGACTAGAGAGACCAGTATGGGTGAATACAGGAGGATGTTTATTTTAAGGTAGGCACCAGCTCAGTGGATTCACATCCAAACTTACAAAGCAAAGACTGAGCTCAAAGACTGAGCAAACTTACA